ATATAAAGAATAAGTGGGCTAAGGAGGGTGGCATTACAATTCAACCGGAAGCATGGGAGAGAACAATAGTACAGCAATGGAAATGTACATCGGCTCTCTCTTGGAGGGAATTTGGGTGGAAGAATGTAGTCAGGTTTTTTAGAGTTCCGGCCCAAGGGACTTCACAAGGAATGAGTACAGCCTGTTGGAGATCCTGCGGTAATAGCAAAGCCTCACATTTTCATGTGTTTTGGGAATGCCCGGTCATCTCCAAATACTGGGAAGAGACAAGGATGATTATGGGTAGGATTATGGGAACAGTGGTCCCGCCGACCTTTGAAGCCCTGTACTTGGGACTGGAACCTGACTTTATCATTAACTTTCCCCAGAAATACACATATAACATCTTATTGTTAGCAAGCAAAAAAGCAATCACAAGAAGATGGTTGACAAGAGATCCTCCAACAGTCAAAGACTGGACTAAAGTGGTCGGGGAAATTTTTGAAATGGAGAAACTGACATCTATTCTTCGAGGCGAACGGGAGAAATTTGAGACATTATGGGATACCTGGATAAAATTTACGGAAACCTAAGTGCTTAAACAGATAGTTGAGTTACCCTATTGGCCCCATTCCACTCAAGTTGGTTTATTTTTGTTTATTATTATTTTATTTTATTTATTTATTTATTTATTTATTTTTTACTTGTATGGCACAATGTTCAGGACATTGTATATGCGGCAGGGCAGTAATTGTGACCCGTCTTACCGGGAAGTCTGTGATGTATGTACTATTTTGATGCCGGGAACTGATGTGCTTCTGTGTATCTGAACACGTGACCATGTTTTTTCCTTTTTATAACTGCTTAAAAAATTCAATAAAAAGTTTAATAACAAAAAAAAATGACAAACGGGCGGCCCAGCAGCTGGCGCATGATAAACCGGCAAAATTTACTGACACGCCCACCTGTGCTATTTAAAAAGCCCACACGAGGGTCCTCCAACTATCTTGATCAGGAAATCAATACCTTTCCTCTTGTTATTACATGAACAGTGTAGATAGAATATAAGTAATTAAACAATCAAACGGTCAAGCAGACAGGTTACCTTGATGATGTTGTTGGTCACTTTAATAACCTGAGCTCGAGTCAGGTCGTTGCCATTCTCCCCCTTGACTGCTACGAGCTGACCCACAGCAAGTTCTGAGAGAGGCTGGACGGTGGTGCTTTGTTCATACAAGGAAAGCATAGCATCCTCCATTGCCTCCTGGGCTGTGGAATAGTCCTCGCCAACATACCTGCACAGGGAGAAGACACAATCAGGTAAAACTAAAAAATGTCCTTTGGAAATAATAATCCCACGAACAAGTTAAAATGGACCGAAAACGGTTGGTGAACTGTAATGCATGCACTCTAAGAGCCACACTGATATTGCATGAAAAATGAATGAAGGTTAATGTAACTGTATAAACGAAACTACTTTGGGGCGATGTTATTCACAAACAAGTGTGCTGCCAGAAGTGATGTAAACAACATTGAACATTACAATGTACACAAAAAAGTTTGCATTTCTTGAAAATTTGTTTGATTTGGCCAGATAACTATTTTTTTCCTCTGGATAGTTGTGTGTTGTTTGATTTTATTTGTAATCTATTTCAATATTGTTTTAAATTTTGATAAGGGGACAAGAAAATATTAAAATAAATAAGAATTAATCGATATTGTGATACATTTTCAGCCGTATAGCACAGGGCTACTCTTGAATATTTTTTGTTGCTGACAAACTTCTGCTCCTCACTTTCGCCCATTTATCAGTAATCTAGTGAAAATTAGTAGAAATGTGAACATTTCTTTCTTCTTGATTTCTAATTTACAAATAAAAAGTCGAGACAAACCTGATAGTAACTATGTTACTGCTTTTGGCATCAGTAACCAGCACAGAGGGATACTGCATTGAGGGATGAACTAGACAGGCAGGAACTACAGGGCCAGTGACCTCCAGACCAGATGGAAGCTGGTCGCTTCTGGTGTTCTGACTGTGTGTACTCGCAGTTCCTTCCAGTTTTACTCTCATGGGTGCATATATGATGGCCTGATCCAAACAACAACAAATTCACAGAATAATATTTGTTACAAGTGGTCTCCAAACCTCCCCTACCAATGAGTTCAATAATGAAAGAAAAACAAAACACATAGTCCTTTGTGACAGCATGCATGAATGTAGTGCTCCAAGTGCCCTCTCAACCACTTACCTTCTTGCCGTCATGTGGAATAGGGTATTCCACAGTGCAGAGGTCCGGAAGGAGAGATAATTTATCCATAAAAAGCTCAGGGAATGGGGCCTTGTAAGCATCCAGGAAAAGTTTGGGCAACGCATGGACCCACAGCCCATTCGTGTACTTGGATAGAAGTTCCTTTAGTCTTTGACACACATCAGCGGGCAAAATGGCAGCACAGGACTTAACGGGAGGATAAGGGCAAGAGTTCAATGATGAGGTGGACTTTTGTGGTGGTAAATCTTCAGAGGGGGTATGACAAGGAGGAGTAATTGCAGGAGTGTTGGTTTTTGGAGGATATTTCCTCATAGGTGCCAAAGGATGAGCAGTTTGTTCAAGGTTGACGTCAGGTGTGACTGCCAGACTATTGCCTAACTTTTGTGGCACCTCCAAAGATGTAAAATAATCTGTTGGCTGTGAAGCCAAAGTGAGTGCTGGGTTAGCTACGGTCTCTATGGAGCCAACTCTAGGGTCAGAGGTGGACACCTGTGAAGAATCTAATGTACATATCGTGCTCAAGTTGACGGAAGGTTTTGCAGGGCCTTCAGACAGGCTGCTTTGTGGCGCAGATGAAGAAGGCAGAGGGGGGTAAACCAGGAAGTCGCCTTTGGTGCTACATGACTTCTCTACCTGAAAAGACCAGAGGAGCAAACAGGACCTGTACATTGGAAAATAGTTCGCCGTAATTGTAATAAAAGTAAAGTTTTTCAAAAAGAGAGGTAACAATGAATACAGCTGCAGTACCAGAAGTCATTCTTATGACTCACCATACAAACGTCTGTCCACTTTTCCAGATCATTGAGCGCCTGAGGAGGGAGCTGCTGCTTGAACATTTCACTGAAGACAGTTGGCAGTTTCGAGATCCACAGCCCAGAGCAGTACTTCTTCAAAAGCTGGATTAATCTTCTCTGGACCACAGTCTTGTCATACAGTGTTGACTGTGTGAAGGGAATTCCCAACCAAATCACTTTTCTTGCATCGAACGGGGTGAAACTTTGAAGAAATGTCTTCAACCATACCGATAATTCAATTCAAGGTCTCTTAATATATTTGTCGTTTAAATGTACCTCTTTTAGAGTGTCAATCAAAACGGTACCTTGGAAATGTAAGAATTTTTGATATTGTGTTGTAGTGTATGATGTGTGTGACCTGCAAGTACAACTGGACAAAATTATGTTCAACTATCATGTAAAATTATTTCCCAAGTTCTCTCGGTGTGTTGTGAAAGCAAAAACAAAAGACTTTTTTTTTCCAGTGTGGATGTAAAAAGGAGCACAAAAAATGTCAAGAAAGCTCAGAAAGAATATTTTCTCTACCTCAGGGCAGTTGTTTCTGGAGACTTGTTCGGCTGGTTTCTCTGTGAAAGGTCATCAAAATGTTGATAGCTGTTAAAAAAGCCTTCTTCATTTTATTGAGGAAATAGTTCTTTCAAGAACAACAACAAAAATCATGGCACATTTAAATGATAAAATATGAACATGGTGAAGTGCTCTCTCTGTAACCTCCACAGTGACCAACATACCGTATTCTGTACTGTGTGATCTAAAAATAACAGGAAAGCTTTTTTTTGGGGGGGGTCATCTATGTTTGACAAAAGATGTTTTTCCAATTATTTGTGACTCAGCACTATTACCTGTGATACCCACTGAACTGAGGACTACAATTCATTGTTTTATTAGCATATTCAGTTTGATGAGCATTTACAATACAGTACTTCTTTTTTTCCATACTTTTTTGAAGTATTTTTTTTTCAACATAATTGAGGGCAAGGGGGGTAATAACACAAAAACTTGGGGTGATTGATGCTATCAAAAACTGATGTTTATACCAACCTTTGGATTTCTGGGGCATTACCAACTTCTTGGCCCTGCAAAATGGACATGCATTTAAAAGTCACAGTCATGACTTGACGATCATTCTACACACTCTAAAAAGAACTTGTAAAAAGGACACTTTAATTAAAATGGGAAAAACTCAGCCGAGAAATGGTTCGCAGAGACAATTAAGCAAGTGTTACTTTACTTAAAAACAGAACAAATTCTGTTGCTTACTCCGCCTGCACTAAAAAAAATATATGCTGAGAAGAGACCACAGACCAATAAGGTGGATGCAGGACTGTTTCGATCTCACCTGTCAGGTGCAGCAGACGGTTTCACAACTGGCTGAGGCGCTGATTGTCGGTGCTCTACTGGTAGCATAAAGGACTGGCCGGCTTGCCTAATAATTGGGAACAACGTTTGGTTATTAAGTATAAAAAGGAAAAAAAAACATTAACTGTCCCAAATAAGGCAAGGGAAGTTTATTTGTATATCACATTTCATGTACAAGGCAATTTAAAGTGTTTTACATCAAATATCAAAAGCATTACAGAAGGAGAAACAAAATATTAAAGCATGACAAAAATAATACTAAAAATCATCAAAAATAATTCGATCCAAATGATTAAACAGACACAATTCAACACATTTCCCCTGCCAAAACTCTTGAATGCAGTTGGCCCAAAAATATGTACCTGGACTTGACATCATGCGAGTCGCTGAAGCTTCTGTAGCCACCATGGGGTTGAAAGCGGTTGGCTGGCCTCAAAGCACCGCCACCTGAAGGCTGCCGTAGAGAGGACACGGGCCACCCTAAGTGCATGCAAGGAGTCATTTTGAGCAAACGACCCGTTAAAACAGCTAGGCAATGGTTTTGAAGAGCAAACCTGCCATCTACTGTACTTTAATGAGAGTGAGACTTCAGTTAGCAGGTTTTATGTATTGGATATTTTAAGAATATCCTACCACGACGCATGTAAGGGTCGGAAGCTATGCGTCTCATCTTGCAGTTGACGATTTGGGAGCATCCCGATCTCTTGGAACTCTTCTGTCGTGCTACCAGCTGGGCGATGTGTGCCGTCTCACTGCAGACTCCTGCGTAGCATCTCAACTATAAAGTAAATTGCAAGTGACGCATGCATCTGTCTGTGGAACGCTTCTCTCTCGAATGCAACCGTACAGACTGATGGCAAGTGAAAAGATACTATGTGTAAACTATGTGAATAGTAACTAGGTTAAGCACTGCAACATCAATGACCGAGGTAGAAGTGTTTTTTTTTTCTTACAATAAATGAGGTGATGAGCACAAAGTGCAGCTGCAGGGTGGTTCCATACATAATGTGCTTTTGTCTGTCACTTGTGGAGGCTGCCACTTACACTCTCGCGGGAATGGAAATTTGCAAAAATGTGAGGTGTTTGCCAACTCCTGCCCACTTAGGAACAAAACTAGCATGAGTAGATATTCAGCAAGGACAAGCAACATTAGATGCACCAAAGCTACACACTAAACCATGATCAGAAACATCATCATCCGCATGAGCTTACTGAGTTTCCTTTTTGCGGATCTCTTTCACTTCAAGAAGTTGATGTTTTTTAATTGTATTTTTTTTTTTTTTTTTTTTTAAATTGAGGGTTTAGTTTCACTTTTAAGACTTTTTTTTGTATTGAAACACAATGGAGTATTGTCTTTAAAAACATAAATAAAAATCAAGATTCATTCATTGACTATTGTTTATTTCAGCTTGGTTCATTAAGAAATTCTACTGTATGTCCACAGCATACATAGTACACAGTCCTTGAACCATAGTGTTATTGTTGACAACCCCCCATGTTAATCCCACCATCGACAACACCAAAGACACTTGCAATTATTCATGCCTAATAATTAAAAACAAGCTCTTACTTCTCCATTGTGGTAGTCCAGCCGCACCACAGAGGGTATGCTTCGGAGATAGTCTTCCAAATTGAGGAAGCCCAGTTTTCTCAACGGGATATTCTCTCCACAGAGTGAGCGGTACTCAAACTGCAGGCTTTGAATATTCACACCCTCCTTGCTAGATTGGAGTACAGAGCGCAGCATTTTCTTGATGGACTCGCTGTCTGACATCCTGTTTTAGATTAAACAAAAGAATTAATTTCAGGTCAGCTTGACATAGAAAGTAAAATGATGGGCCAATTTATGTGTCATCATAATGCAACAAGTCCGAGAATGACCTGTTCAGCAATGATGTGAATGTGTAACAAGTTAGTATAATGAAAATAATGAAAATAGTCAATAATGAAAATAACAAATAAACAATCCATACAATACATTAGAAAGCCTGTGACACCTCCACCAAACTGTTCACTTTCATAGACAACCACCGTGTACTGGATATGCTTTCTTGAGCAAAGCAAGGAAAATTAATTCCGATAAGATTTTTAATGTCTAACGTTACAAACGTACATATATTAATGGGGTGTTTTTGGCATCATTCTCCCAGTGAACTAAGGGCTGATTAGTATGTTCCACAGTTTTTGTTTTTTTCCTGTGATTGTCGACTGAGAGCCTCGTGTAGTTTCGAGAAATATGTTCTGTAAAATCTTCTGTCATATATCTTGTGCAGTGGTTCTCATACCCATGGGGGTACAGGAATACACTTCAGAGGGTACGCAAGATTTTAAAATATACTGCATTTATAAAGTAGCATCATTAATGCAAAAAAAAAAAAAAAAAAACCTTGATCGGAACCCTTTGCCTCTCTGCCACCAAGAATGACAAAGTTCCTCAACAAAGCACAAGGCCAAGTGTCTCGCAAAATGTAAAAACACTTAGTACAACAATGAAATACTCAGTGTTGATAGTTGATAATGTTGCCTACTTTATTTGCAGTTTCTGCTTTTATTTAAATTTAAGTTAATGATTTCTTCTTGAGAACAGATCTGGACTATGATCCCAAAAGGAGATACTTGTTTCAATTTAGAGTATTCCATTAACCTATTGTGCATGTTTTTGGAATGTAGGAGGAAACTGGAGTACCCATAGAAAACCCACACAGGCCTGGTGAGAACATGCAAACTCCACACAAGAAGGCCAGAACGACTTGAAATGGAGTCCCGCAGTGAATGTACAACCTGGAACAACTGGGCCTAATGGAACTGGTCTCGAAACATGTTCAAGTAGACTGAAGGTGTTTAGGGGTAATGCAACAGGTTGTAGATGCTATTTTTATCTTCTCTTTTATTTCAATAGGGGTTTCCTGGTTAACTCATTTCAAATAAATATGCATATGAAACACAATTTGCCATTAAATTACGTCACTAAAAGTACTCGGAAAAGTGGCAGACTGATGTTGCCAGAATGCAGAAAAACCTTGTAGCTAGCAATTAGCCATTAGCGGCAAAGGATGGGAAAAAATATTGTTCTCGTCGTGTAAGGACTATAAATAATCTCATCAGCGGACAAATTAGAATACGAAGAGATAGTTTTGTGCCAAAATTACCTGTCGTAGTCGTAGCCAATGTGTACACACGTCGCTGTCCGGTGTCCCGTAGTGTTCGGAGATAGTGAATTAATTAAGCGCGTTCTGGTTATTTCCCCAAACCGCGTTCTCGACAACTGGACTACTACCGGAAGTTCGCCATTTGTGCGACCCACCCTTTAACAGTATTTAGTGAAAATCAAATGTGTTTACATTACACATTTGTTTACTAATCAGTAGTCGTACAAGTTCGGAAAAACATACGTTCTACTTCGAAAGTTGCAGATGAGTGAAAATATGCAAATTAATTTCAGGTCAAAGTTCAGAATCACTTTCGATGGCAATTTTATTATTTATTTATCTGCTTTAGTTGTTGGGTAAAAATAACAAAGAGAAGCATACACTGTATAAAAGTTAATAAGGTTGAACAGAAAATAATGAAAAATAATTACATATTGACATAGCAAGTAAAATGATGGGCCAATTTATGTGCCATCATAATGCAACAAGTCCAAGAATGACCTGTTCAGCAATGATGTGAATATCTAACAAGTTCGTAATAGTGAACAGACAATAATGAAAATAACAAATAACAAAGTCTCTCACAACTCCACCAAACTGTTCACTTTCATAGCAAACAGCGTATACTGCATATGCTATATTGACATGGAAAATTATGGACGAACTTCTGCGCCATAAGTCAACAAGTCCTAGAATGACCTGTTCAGCAATGCTGTAGATATCAAAAATAATACACTTAGTTATATTTTTAACTTTATATTTTTTTTTAACTTGTTTTAATATTTTGCTCATTTGTCCAACTTGGTGTCAGACCAGCTACTTGGCTCTTCTGTTTAGATAAAAAAGTCAGCACAGGAGTTAAGCAAACTTGTACTACCAATTGTGGGCATGAATTCATTTTGAAAGAATTTCAAGCTGTGAAACTTTTCTGTAATTACAGACCGAAGTACATACAAAGTGAGATTCAAGTTTTAACAACATATCAGATCTCAAGTGACTTTCGATGACAGACCTCCAAACACTGACAAAATGTGCATCAGTGCAAAAGTTATTCTAGCCTTCTGGCGTTTGTGCCTCAGTGCTCAGTGGCGCCGACGCTGTCTTGTGGCTCTGCGTTTGTGAAGCCATGACCCAAGCCTGCAGTATTGTGTCCGACTGAAGAGAAGGAGACGTGTCCAAGGTCCCCAATGAGGAGAGGTGGTGCTTCCTGTGCAGGATCAGATGAGGGTTCCGTAAGAGGGTGTAAAGCAATGCCCAACGTCTCCTGGCTTGACTGTTCACAGAATATTCTGGAAAGGAGAAGGAAATATGAGCAACAGAAAATACTAACCACTTGGGATTATTGTGTTTTCGCATGTGCAGTTACATGCATTGGGCAGTATTTACATACCAGATGGTGTGTTGTTGAATGAGGAGTATGCAGGTAGTGTGTGTTTGTCCAGGATGGTGGAGACAAGGAGCTGACAGAAACACACCATGACTGGATTGTTATGATAGTGGTCAGCAAAGATCATCCCAATCCATGTACTATAACCTGAGAAATGCAGAAATACTGATTCTTACACAGCTCTATATGGAGAAAAGTACTGTAAATACAAAAAAACTTTTTTTGCCATGACTGTCTATTAATGGTAAGTGGTGTTTCTCCAAAGTACACACTTTCTTTCAATTTAATAAGTATAGTAAACGTTACACATTTATTTCTTATATTGCTGAAATAAGTCCTTTTGAGTGGGTGACCTGCCACCAACCCTCAACCCCTGCCCCAACTTTGATGGAGTGCATCACACCTGAGCACCCTCAGTGCATATGAATGACTTTTGTGTGATCCCACCATACGGTATGCCAATTTCCCATAATCTGTCCCCTTTTAGTTGTCCAGAGTATCATATTAGAGAGTTAAACTCACCAGCATCCATGGTTTCATATCCTCTCTGCATTATTGTACGGTCGATGCGGGACACCAGCCATGTTCCCAGCACAATGCTGATCATCAGCCTCATGATGCAGTTGCTTATCCCCATGATCACATTGTAGAAAAAGAAAAAGTAGTTGAAGCAGTGGAATGCTTTTCTGAAGGCAAAAGAGAAGGAACAAAATTCATATTTGACCTCATTCATATTTCCATGCTTAATTACAGGTTGATATAGTTAAGATGTATCTGGTGTACGTTTCAGCAATTGACACACTCATGTAAATGGGAATTATTTCATCCATCCATCCATTTTCTAATCTGCTTATTCTCACAAGGGTTGCGGGCATGCTGGAGCCTATTACAGCTATCTTCAGGGTTGCCAACCAATCGCAGGGCACACAAAGTCGAATAACCATTTGTGCACATAATCACACCTAGGGACAATTTCGAGTGTTCCATTAACCTGTCATACATGTTTTTGGGAATGTGGGAGGAAACTAGAGTACCAGTAGAAAACTCACACAGGCACGGGGAGTACAGCACATGCAAATGCCACACAGGAAGGCCGGAGTCTGAATCGAACCCTGCACCTCTTCACTGATGCAGACGTGCTAACCAGTCCACCAACGTGATTCCCGGCAACTACTTTAATTTTGACAAATATATTGCATTTTTTTCCTTGACATATTATATTTGCAATATGCAACCATCACTACCTACCTGTTATTGAGAGCCAAAGGTTTGTGTTTATCAGTGGGAGACAGTTTGTCCTGGAGAAAAAAAATCTGGACCAAAACTATCTGGAGGATCACCATGGCTATCACCAGACTGATAGTCAGGCTGCAAAGAAAAAGACACAGAGTGTAAATGTTGTCATATTGATGATGCAGGGGATATAAAAAAAATCAACACACCCCTGTTCAAATACCAGGTTTTTGAAATATAAAATATGAGACCAAGATAAAACATTTTCAAACTATTTTCGCCATTAAAGTGACCAAAAACCTGCAAAGGTGAACTGAACATTTTCCAAAAATTATTTCGAGAGAGGAAGTAAAAATAAACAACAGTAATGTGGTTGCTCGTGTATGTACTCCCTCTACGTTGCGCCTGCCACATACACTTACATGAGGATGCCAAGGTTAGACAGCATGATCAGGGCTTTTCCATGTTGTATCGGAATAACAATCACATACACCACCAACAGTGCAACCAGGAAGTGAATGGAGTGGACCATCAGATAACCTGAAACACGATTTAAATAAATAAATACATTAATCTCCAAATCTAATCCTAAAAAAGATATTCATATCATTTTATAAGAAATTAAAATTATTACCCCAGAGTGTAAAAGCAATTTGCCATCCAGAGTAGCGTGCGATGGAGGCCTGCACAAAATCCATAAAAAGTTCGTCACTTCGAAAGTTGTACAGTAAATGGCTTGTGTGTGGTGTCGCGCTCACCACGCTGACAGCAGACTTGGGCTTGAGAAATTTCTCTGGGAGGAAACCTCTCTCTCCTCTCCAAAGTCTCTTTAAATGTTTCCTTTGGAAGCAACACACCATGATGAATCGGGGCATGTCTGAGTTTGCACGGATGAATTAATTGCATTGTACTGATCCACTTACCTGTAACATACCAGTACATGGATTGTGTACGCAACTGAATTGAGACTAGCAAAGATGGTGGTTGCTAACCACGTCTCTGGAATGAAACAAAGTAATAGATTAATAGAAGGGCCATATGACATGTTGATGCTTGTCTGGATAAAGGTGCAGATCAAGAAAATGGATTGGTTGAGCAGGCCAAGGGCAAACAAAACAAAATTAAATGGATCCTCTCTTTCTTCATGCACCACTCTTCTCTACAGCACTTATTTGCACTTATATAAAAGCAAGTTTATTTAATTCATTCTAATCTTAGCATCGAGCTCTATACAGTATTTTGAGTGTTTTGGGTTTTTATTTTTTCACAAATTGATTTGACTATATGAGCACATCTGCCTCACAGTTCTGACTTTCTGTTCTGTTTGAATTAAGAGTGAATAACAGCACAGACACTGGAAACAGGATTACACAAAAACAGAAAGTCCACAAAACTTTGGAGAGGTGGTGCATGGGCAACATTTTGCTCGGGATTCTTGTCAAAGTGAATATACTGTATATTTACTGTATAATTAAGAATTATACCTTGGAGAGGGTGTACAATCGAGTGCTCGACATTGGAGTTATGCAGCATATGATCATTATAGAATTGTTCAAAAAAGAAACAAAATGAGTGAGGCTTTTGGATAGTATGCAGGACTTGTGGCCAACTCACTTCTGGCCACGTTGATGAATTCTTCCAGTTGCGGAATCATGGCTCCCAAAGCTTCGGTCTGATCACAGGATGTAACCAAGTCTTTGAGCGTGTTCTTCCATCTGACCACTTGGTCAAAAGCGATATTACTGAGACTATAGTCAGCCAGGGTCATCTAAAAGCAATATTAGAGGGTATGTAGCATTTGATACCAACAACTTTGTGGGTAAAACACCCAATTGTTTCTGCTCTTTACCGTATATAGACCGATGAGCGATATGATGGCAGTGCCGATGATTCTGTTTGGGAACTTGAAGTGGGGATCCCACTCATACACTCTGTTGTGGAACCAGCTCAGGGCCTTGCTGCAACATAAAATGGGTTCTACCATTGTGTATGTAGTCTCCGACTGTGCTGCAACCTTTAAGCGTAGTGTGAGTCACAGTTTTGTCACTAAAACTGATTCTGATGAGGATGGCCACAATAATGATGCATTTTTAAAACAGATAAAAATCGATTGGAATGCAAAGAACACCGCGTTTGTGTTTCAAATGCACATGAGAGGCAAAACAGGGCTGAGATGACTGCAGTTCTATTTCGATTTGGAACAGTTAAATGCAGAGCTGTTTCACAAGTATTCCACTCTTGACTGTATTTTACCTGTGTGTACTTTTCTTCCTCAGGAGTCTCTTAACATGCTGCACTTGATGATGCTGAGTCAATTCATCTGGGTCCTGGTGGTACATTTTGCATATTAATACGTATTTTTTTCCCGCCATTGTTAGCACACATTAGAATATTCAAAATCAAAAATAAGTTGTAAAATGCATTGATTGTAAAACAAGACAATACTGTGGTGGTAAAAAAAAAAGGAAATATCAATGTCAGTTATTACTCTGTGGGTTTTGACTGCAGATATGACATGATATATGTTCTGACCTCCTGTTCCAGCTTTAGATGTATTCGAACATGTTTGACCAGCATGTAGACAAATCGTCCCAAAAGAAAAATGAGAGAGACGATACAAGGCCACTGGACAATTATCTTCTGGTATTTCCCCAAAATCTTTTGGAAACACATTTATACTTTAATTTTCAGGCATCAAAAGTTATACAAACAAACATGTCAGGTGGGCATAGTACTCACCTAATAGCAGTTGTACTCACGTACCTTGCCATCTGGACATGTGAATGTGTCCCACACAGTAATTATAAGCCTGCAAACAACCACATAGCATTTTGGCTATTTCGCACCATATTGAAGCATGCACTGTGGAGGAATATTTACCAACACAAAGAGTAGAGAATTCCCAGCACAGCTCCAGCCGCTCTGAATGGTGTTGACAAACAGGCAAAGAAAGGAAAGTTCACAAGTCCCACCTCCAAAGCTCCAACAAGGTAAACTACAGCTGGGGACCATAAACACACTATCAGGTTGATGTGTGAACAACAGAGCAGAACCAATTGGTAGAAAGTGTGAGTACCTCTGGCCCAGGGTGGGACAGTAAAAGGAATGTAATGTTCCGAGAAGAGCAGCAGGACGCTGTAGGACACGGCGCCAAAGGCAAACCCGTACGACCAGCGATTGCTCAGGCTACCTATGGTGTCCAGAGGTCTGCCAAGAACATGAACAAAGAAAACATGGCCTTATTTGGAAAAAAAAAAAAACTGTACGAGTGAGAGAGTGACAACACATCCTACGGACTATTTTAAAACGTGCATTTTAATTTCTCTCCTTGTGATTGACTTACACCACAATGCCAAAACGCCCTTGAAGAAAAGGAAGTCTATGGTCAATAGCCAATGGTTTTGCTCTTTTCTGAAGGAATGACAGTACCAAAGCAATCAGCACCTGGAAGACAACAACCAAAGCTTACAATTGCAAGACAGACACATGCTATAAGTGACTTTATTTAAAGTGATGCTTTGATATTTAAAATAATATGGTATGATACTAAACTAACCACTCGGGCTTTTTACTGTGTAGCAGACAATGACTTCATCTGAAAACATGTTAAAATGTTTCATTTAATGAGGTTTAAAAAAAACAGCATGCTGAAATTCGTTTCAGTTAAGAGTTTAATGTAGTTTGTACATTCTCTCTTCGAGTAAAGTAAAATACACATGGCAAAAAATGTCGATTGATGACTTCCTCAGATTCTTTTTCCTGGCCATGCCCCACATTTACTCAGTTGTTGCTTCATAGCTCTCAATCATAATCACTACTTTGTCGAATTAAAAATGGCATAAAACTGCTCACAAGACAGTTTTGGAGGGCAACCTGACTTGAGAAAGATCTCGCAGGAACAGAAACTCAAGACAGACACACAAAAGGGAAAGTCTTCGGGATTAAATAAAATGAGAAATAGCACCATCCTCTGTATCTGGTCATGCAATGCAACGCTGTCCCTAATTGGCTTCTTTCTCATGGATTTCTTCCATTTATATTCCTGAAGTGGTAGGACATTTATTGAAATGAGTTGGAGAAGGCTCCAAAGTGTTTCCGTTGCTGCAGCTTTACCTTTTAAGCAAACAGTGCAAGTTTGTGCAAGTTTATGACATTGCTTAAAAAAATCAGTATGGTAAACATTGGTCGCGGACACGCTACTGACTTTTATAGAAACATAATTCCGCGGTCCAGTTTTCATATTAATGCTAAAAACGTAAACGGGAATTTGAAAACTGGACTGGGTTATTATTGATACAAACAAACAAAAAATAGCAAAAATGAAGGACGACTTACAGCTGGGATAAGTGTGAGATGCAGAAAGAGGTCAATCGATATTCCATTGTGACAGTCCCGAACTATGACTTCCCTGTGGGGAAAATGTTTATCATTGGTATGTGTTCAAGACAGTTTGCATTGGTGTAGAACCGTGCTGCATCATAATGCTGGGGCTTTCCAACTGCTCATGTTGCGGAACAGAATGGTGAGTAAACAAAACAAAACAACTGTCACAGGCCCCAAACTGAAGTATGCTCTAAGTAAACAAAATTCAGCTCGTACTTACACATGCTCCACTTGGTCCGCAATCATCGTTTGATCATCCATTTTGAATCAAAAAGTACCTCAGCACTTTCTAATGAACAAGTGTGTCTGGACAGCTGTCACTTCTCTATTTCCTGGTTTCACCCATGTGACTCAAACATTTGAACTTTGACCTCAGGATGCACCCTTCTCTCGTTTTCCTTGTTTGTCCATGTGTCATGAATTGACAACACTTTCTCTCTTTTTCT